CAAAAGAACATCCCGGTCAAAGCCTTAATTTGTATTATTATTAATCAAGGAAGTTATGTCAGGTCACAGGACACTGAAGCCGCTCCAGAGAGACTTACAACTAACTAAATGGCTTAGCGAACCCTAAGGTTCATCACCGAATTAACCAAAGCCCTCCACCTCGAAATGTGCGTTCAGAATCCGTTTCCTTTTCAGGGGAAATCCAATTGGTTTAAATGGATTTTTGAAGTGGAATCCTCAACACAAGAAATGCTCTTGTTAGTTAGTGACGTAGGCGAAACTCAGTTTCGTCCTGTCTACTGTACCCAGCAGGTGAAGGCTCTGCGTCCTTTATGCCGTAGATCCAGTGGTTTAACCTCTGTTTAGTTTGTTAACGAGACGACTTCGAAGAAGGCGGTCGACCATGTTCGTATTTGCCTCCGCGAGAACCCGAAAGTGTCCCAAGGAAACACGAAAGTCGTCTAATTTGCAAAATGGTGGCAGCTGATCGTTCACGGTACTTGGAGGTTTCGCAACGAGTCGAGCCTTTAACCCGGGATGGGTTATCTCGTGTGTGGTGTTCTTCCCAGCGTGCCGAGTGTTTTGTGACGCACGGAGGCACAGCTGAACACACACACACACACTCGGTCATGGTGGTCTGGTGCTCATCGTGTTCAGTCTAGTTCCCCAGTAGCCTACATGCTCCACTGTTCTACTCTGCAATCAAAAGGATCTCTATTTCGTCTGACATCGATCAGTTTCCTCATTTGGTGAGTAGAATTTGTACTTCTCTCGTTCGTCGCTAGGGCTATTGGTTTTTTTCCGGACGAAGACTGATTAAGCCCTACGTACTTATTTTATTTTATTTTATTATTATTTATTTAGTGTTCTGTCTGAGGACAGGTCCATATGAACAGGATCCTTCCATCCTTTTCTCGGACTGGGACCTGTTCATATACGTTCTTGGCAGATGATCCAGAAGTGGTTTGCCATTGCCTTCTTCTGTGTGTGAATGGAGTAATTGTTGGGATGCCACGGAGAAACCGGGGAAGCCCCCGGAGGAAAACTCCGTGTTGCCTAGACCACGGGCCTTGCCCAACACAAGTTATAAATTAGGGCACCGCCGGGAATCGAACCTGAGACCCCAGGATTACAAGGCCAGCGTTCTAACCGCTAGACCACCGTGGCTATAAGCCCTGTTTAGAGTTAAAATGTCCGAATTATGTTAGGTCCCCCTGCACGACCTGCAACTGTCGTAACATATCGGACCATGTTATGTCACGTGTTAGTATTGTCGCCTTCGAATTATATTAAATTTGTAGGATTTGTTGTTGTCACAGTGGTAAGTACGAAAATGGCCGTCTTCTGGGTTGTAGCGCCGTTGTAGAAGTTTCAGAGGTCCATGCCGCCTCCATCATCAGTGCGATAAGTTACTCGTAAAAAAAAATTACGTGAATTTTGAAGTGGCGCGTAAAGTTTTATTCAGAAGTGTAATAGGATAAGGTAAAAATGTAAATGTTTTTCTTTTTTGACCGTGAGTGAACATTATTTCGCTTCGATTCGTTGTTTACGTATAACAGAACGTAAAAATTAATCCCTTAGCGGCGACTGAAAATTATGGCAAAGATTCCGCTGTCTGGATGAACGAAATTGTTCTCGGAGAGAGAATTGAGGTTAGGTTTAAGGCATAATGATAACTGTGTTTGCCTCCCGATCTGAATTTTGTTTATTTGTTTAGAATGGTTCTCGGAATAAAGTGCAATTTCCCCCCCCCCCCCCCCCCCTGAAACATTAACGGATTGAACTTTGGAGCTGTGACGTGTTGTCATTTCTTCGAGGTATGAGCTGTATTTTGAAATCCTGATGCATATTTCACGGGGGTAGTCGAGAAGGCTTAAATATACGCGTCACGTTTTCAAGGTCCGTTGTCTCTCCGTTAGGAACTTAACGCGTTGAAATGTAGTTTGTACTGCGATATAGCTGCTTGGACTTTCCGAGGTCAGTTCGTTGTTCTGTGTCTATAAAGCGATAAGCGATCTAGAAGCACGAAGCTCAAAGCTAAAATGTCTATTGACCCTTTATAAATACAACTACAAGGAGTTACTGACCGCAGGGCAAAGTCGAGCACGAATATGATTAGTGACTTTCGTTTGACGTAGTTTTTACCACAAAGATCATGGCTGTCGTCTGGGTTGTGGCGCCGTGTAGTCTGGTAGAAGTTTATCAACGTTTCATAGTTCCTTGCAGTCTTTGTAGTCATGGAGGCAGCAAGGACATCGTTGGTGACTACACGGCGGAACAACCCAGAAGACTGCTTGAGAACGTCGCTCAGAGCTTGTCTCTGGTTACAATACAGTCCGCAGGCCAGGAGAAAATCCCTGATAGGAATTCGTTAAACGCGCATGCGCAAGATTACGTCATCGGTCATTTGATCGAAGACAGGAATCGATAGTTTTTAGACCTCGATTATTGTGTTTTATCACTGCCGTCCGAAGACTTCAAAGAATGTGATTAAGAATAGAGAAAATGCATTTTAGTTCGCAAAATCAAGTTTGTTTCGTGACTGGATGAATTAGACGTAATGAAATCACATCTCACGCCCTGCTCCACGCGAAGTCTTTCCACTCCAATCGATACCTGAAACTCGAGGTGACTTTGTTAAACCTGTCTCGTTTCATTTGTTTCATCTTCTGTTTGCAAGAGTTGCCGGCGTGGTGCTAGCATCTGCCAATAATCGACTAGTTGAGCGTTTTAAATCTACCGCACCCATCTTTTGTTGTGGTGTTACGCGGATTAGGTCGTAATGTTTTTGTTCTTAATCTTATTAATTCGTTGCGAGTGTTATAATTTTGTGTGTGGTTGTTGAGTACCGTTGTAATGTTCGCTCAGTTGATGTTTTAATACTCTCTATTCTGCCGGTCGGAATGCGTTAAAAATATAAGCTGAGATCGTGCTGCCATCTCTCAGTGGTGTTTAGAACTATACTTACGTCGAAAAAATAAATCGAGAGCAGCTGAACGAATTTAAATTAAATTTGTTACGGAGATCATGCAATCGGAGGCTGTTCGAAATTTTCAGTTTTTAACATCCGATATCCACGTGATGGATGCATGTACTTTTGAGGTTACGAAAATAATCGTCCGCGGTTACGCCATTACCATTAATTGCCCGCGCTCCTATCGGTGGTCATCTGAACTAATTGATATCGCATCTGTCGGATGGGATATGAAAAATAGCTCTAGAACGTTTGTGTACTTAGTAGAGTACGTCTTTATAGTTTTGTAAATCTCTCTGCTACAATAGTATTTTAACAGATATGAATGTTACGAGTTACCAGTGATGCTTTACGTCATATATCACGCTAATGTTTGTCAGCACCTAACCTCTTTTCAAGACCTGCAGGCAGTAACTTTGCTGACGGTACACAAATGTACACACCATGTTTGGTGGTTAGTACTCTGTTACGTAGTGGAGCACATTATTGTGTTATAAAGTGGAGAACTTTTTTCGTTCTATCTTTCGAAGTTAGTAGATGAAGTCTTGCTGGGATACACGGGCCACAGGCAGTGAATGTAATGTAATATCTTAAAACTCGGCCATGTTTGCGTCTTTATAATTTATGGATCACCCAGTACTCTATTCGTGAACAGTGTGTGAGTTGTATTGACTGTTTATTAAGCCTACAGCCTAGTGTTGATGACAGTTGCATAACATGTCAAGTATTGTCATTCTGTGTTGTACGTTGTGAATTAAATGTGTATTGGAAAAGTATTGTCACAGATGTTGATGTCGTCTAATGTAATTTTACGTAAGTTTTGGGTTCATTTGAGATGTTCCGCTGATTTGCCTGGGTAACTTAGTGTTCGTTTCCAGTAACAGAATCTCACAGCTATGGTGATTTGTGTCTGCATATAACAATAATAGCTTAATTCTGTTTTTTATTTTTAAAATCTCTTGTTGCTCCCCCCCTCTCCCCCTTTAGTGTTCTAGTATTTGTTCAGGTGTTAATGTGTGTTTTTGTACTGCAGATTCACTGTGCTGCTGACGTATTTTAACGAATATCGCGTAATTAATTAAATTCTAAAGTTTTTTTTTGGGGGGGGGAACGTGGAATTGTTCGTTTTGATAGTTTATGTTTATGCAAAGTATAAAATTTGGAGTTTGAATTCAATTTCATGGGAATGATCGTACATAAACCAGATTTTTTTTTAGTATTTTTGCTCTGTTAATGATTCTTTGAAGGTTCATTCCGAACTCTGATTCCGTGGCACTTTGCTGCAGAGACTCGAAATAACACCTTTTTTTGTATATTGATACAGATAGAAGTCGTATGGGATTAATAAAATAAGCAAATAGGTTTATTACAATACAAATTGCGGTCCTGAATGAAAAGTTTCTTTAAAATATTGTATCGTTCCTCGTTTGAGTAAGTCTTTCCGATGAATGATGATAGAGTTATTTATTTCACGTATCACAAGGTATTATTCTGTTTTATGCTCAGCTGGTTTAAGCCACTCAGTAACTGGGGAGTAACTGACCGGTGAGATGTCTGTATTTATCAAAATCTACCGATGATAGTTGTATTTAATATTTAAAGTTTTTACAGATAACTTGAGATTGTTTAACCACAGTGAATTAGAGTTCAATAGTAATAATAATAAGTCTCAACGTCGAAGATTCTTACCCAAGAGCAGTTTATGATTGGTTCTTACCGGATTAGGATAGCGTATGTTACGTTCCCATTAAATAGAGTTCAAGGTCTGGGGGTCATTGTAATAACACTTTTCGACAACCTGAAATGTATTCAGTAGTTCGAGAATCTCCGACGTGTGTTGAAAATATCGCGGCTGTCCGAAACAAAGATTTCTGTGTTTAGTTTCCCTCAGATGTGTGAACGAGTAATGAAGTTCTGATCTGAGATACGTCTCACCGTCGAGCAGCCACCGTGCCCCTCTGCAGTACATCGTTAACAGTGTGTGTCTGCCGTTCTAACATTGTGGCTCTCTGTTTTTCTCTTGCAGTATTCCTTGTCCCTGCTTTCCCACTCTCCATCTACACTGAGTACAAGTGGTAACATTGACAACCAGGAGCCAGAGATTCCACCGCCTTTACCTTCCCGGAATCATCCCGCGTTGTCCCCGATTCAGACCCCCGGTGGTCCGCCTCCGCTACCCCCACGTCAGTACTGTCCTCACTTGCATTGTACTGAAGGTGGTGAGTCTATGGGCGTAGAGAATCACCATAACCTGCATTTGTCATCGACTAACCATTACGTAAGTAACAGCACTGCCTCAGGTACTCACAGGTTTTTCTAGTAGTTTGTCTGCTCGCTTTGTGGTTACGCCCTTCTTGCTTTCGTATCTAGCTAATGATCACACCCCTTCCTGGCTGTATCGATCTTATATCCAACACCCCCCCCAATCCCACCCCTTTTAGCTGTGCGTCGAGTGTTAAAACTGTATTGTCTGCGAGTGGGAAGCAGATTTGGAAATAAAACAGGTGGGGATCAAGAAGGATTTGTTTGCAGGAGGATGTTAATCTTTGCAGGATGTAGATGGCTAACATTTTACAATATTCACATGCGCACTTATACATGATTTTGTAACAGATGAAATGGGATTGGATTAAAAAATTGCTGAGGGATGAAACAATTTTGGGTGTTGATACGAGGGGACTGGACGTCATTTGTTTAAAACGACTTCCGGAAAGCCCGTGGTTTCGGTTAGAACAGCGGCACAAAGATGCTTAATCCAACTTTGACATTCCAGTGAAATTAATTGATCTGATTCCAAAGTGGTTGCTTTATCTGCGTTGATTTCTGACTTCTAAGTTGGAATGTCGTACGAGGAAGGCCCCCAAGGAAACCAAAAAAAAACCATTCGAATAGGAATTGAATGGGATGCAATAAGATGTTTATTATGAGAGGAAAACTGACTTGTTCCTCCTTTTATACACAGTCATCCGATAAAAATATAATTTATCCTTGTTTTTTTAGTATGAACCAAAACACTCAAATCTTTACGCGGCGATTGGGTGGAAAGTTTAAAGTTGGGCTCACGGTAGATCACCCCTCTTTGCCCCTCACCAGTGCTGGCGTAAAAGTTGAAGTAAATTTAATTGTGCGACGTAGCAGCGTCTTAAAGTGCCAGGTGTTGTCGCAAAATAATGTTTACGATGTCGAGGGCAGAAGAAACAACTGTTGTGGAGGGTATCTGTAACTTTATAATAGTACATAGTTTTATAATTATTAAGTTTCATCTTAATCTCATTTCTTAGAGGAAAGCACGTACCAACTTTCGTACAAACTTTTCTTTCTCCCCTCTTAATTTTACCAAGAAACAATCTTCAGAGCAATTGTACGCTGACCAAGTCTGTTCAAGGTACCATGGATTTTTTCAACACGCACTTGAGCACCCATGGTTCATCTTCCCTTTGCCGTAGAGATGAAATAATATCTTAGTGCCATCCGCACTTCTCACTGCCTTTTTACCAATGTGCACAGACGTAGACCATTTGTCGTCATAAACACTCGTTTCTTTCTGTACTGAAATTCCTTACTCTGTGATCAGCCTGGCTTTGTATTTAAACTGAAGTGTGTTTGCGTATTTTATGTTCGCTACTCGGTGTGTTCAGAAAACACTTTCATTGCAGAAGATTTTACTAACCAGATAAAACAACATTGAAACATATGGTAATTGTAATTTTTTCCAACAAAAATATTGGAATTTTATCTGTCGCAGTTTCCGACTTATTTATGGTGCAGGTTATCTTTAATAAAAATGTTCTTGGTGTACATTATTTTTGAAACTGAATGTAGCCGGCGAATTTAAAATGGTACGACGTTGATCGTAATGCTTGAACGTTACATTCGTCTTGCCAGAGGCATTCGTGAATGAGGGTGCTTCATCAAAGAATTTTGCCTGAAGTTAAACGGCGAAATTATTTTCCTGCGAGATTGGCGGCTTGCACAGAGGAACCGTGTTTGGATCTGACTGTAAATTTGGCCAGAGTATTTAAAGCGTGCGTTCGGATACATTTTATATTTAACAGTTTTTAAGTGTGCACTGAGATGGTTTAAGAGGTTTCAAGAATTACAGTACATTAAATTTGTTGTTGTAACTTTTCTTGTTATAAGATTTCTATTTCTAGTTAGGTCATGTTTCAAATCCATTCTTCTTCTCCAGCCTCTTACGCCCATCTTATCAGACTCCACGTCTTCGATCCACCGGAGTTTCGGTCTTCCTTTCTTTCCGAATCCGCTAGGTTCTATTAAAGAACTGACGTTCGGTCGTGTAGTTACAGTGTATCTGCTGGCAATGATATAGCCTCTTTATTTGAAATAAGAGTTTTGGAATCTTGTGGCTTTGTACCTTGATATAAATATTAAATGATAGTAATTAGTAAAAAAGAAGGAAAAGACGCTTCCTTATACAGTAAAACCCCTCAAGATGGACACCCCTATATCTTGGACACCCCTTTTGTTGTAAATTGAACACCCCTTTTGTTGTAAGTTGGACACCCCTTTTGTTGTAAGTTGGACACCCCTTTTGTTGTAAGTTGGACAGCTTCATGAGCTTAACTTCGATGCTTTTCAATGAAACTTTTTCAGTTACATATTTTGTTATTTTGAATTTCTGACTGATGAATGCCTCCTCTCTGGAGGATTGTCTTACGGACATTGAACCCATCATTGGAATGGATTGCAAGTGTTTAACTATGAACCCTTAACTGGACTACAGGATCGCAGAAGACGCAGTTTTAACTCCGCTTGCATTTGAGTTCAGACTGCGTTAACAGAAATGGAATTTTTGTTTTTTGCGACGGGGAAGCGAAAATTGGTGGAATTAACTTTAGAAAATGTTATTGAGGATGGGGTGTAATGTGCAATGCATGGGAGCGGACTTCAAAAGATTATTATTAATATTAATTGTCATTAATTCTTAATTCAAGTAAGCCTACAGTAGTTGTAAATAGATTTTATTGTTGTTAGACCACAATCTGATTTTTCTCTTTCCCTCTATCTTGGACACCTCTGTAAGTTGGACACATTTTCGTGGAACCCAAAGTGTCCAACTTAGAGAGGTTTTACTGTAAAATAATCTTATATATTGCTTATGTACATGCTTTTCTCGCTTACGTGATATTAGGAGAGTAGACGAGCAGTGTTGCTCGATGGTACGCTTTAATTTTTGCACCAAATGTTTTAGGCTGTGAATCCACAAGTGTCGGCCCTTCACACACACCACAGAACTAAGTCTAGCCCAGATCCACTCGGCATCCAGAATATGTCTCTCGCAGAAGGTAAGATTGCGTCTGGGCGTCTGTCGGTAAATGGCAATTAGAAATGGCGATTAAAGTAAGTGGCGTGGATTTGACAGCGTCTGTATCCAAGTGACATGAGCGAGTCAGGAATTAGAAGTAGCGTGTGGCGTAATGGGGGGGATTTGCCTGGCATCGTGTGCTGTGCGAGTGGGCTAGAATGTTCTCACACGGTAATTATATGAATTACGATGCTTGATAAAGCCACAGTTATTTTGATTCTCATTCTTCTAGTCGTGAAACTTTACGTTCACGGTTTAATATATCTGTACATGCCGTGTTTCAAAATTATTGAAGAAATTTTGTATTGTTCCTATTCAGCTGTTGTATATAATGTATATTTCAGTTCTGAGCTATTTAAGTTCAGATTCTCTAAGATAGTGTAATTGCGTCATATTGTGAATATTCTAACAATTATTTATTTTAATCCGTCTTATCACAATATTTAAAATTCTTTAGTGTTTCTTTGATGTTCCAAAATGTAAATCGATCAATCGATATGGAACATCAATGATATTTTATTATCTTAATTATAAGAAATTTTAAATATTGTGATAAGACGGATTAAAATAAATAATTGTTCAGATTCTCTGTCTGCGCATGTGCTCCCGTGACTATATCGATGTTATTTGACTGTTTAAGATTGAAAATCATATAAATGTAGGCACTCTGTGTGTGAACCACTTTCTGGAACACCGTGTAGTACGAGCAACGAGGCTAGAAGACCAGTAGTAGCCTATTACAATGGAAAATGACAAGACTATTACTACTATTTTATAATGACTGCCAATACCATAGCTGCTACTGGTGCCTCCATCACTGACGCCTCCTCGATGCATCGAACATAAATTGTAGAACGTGTCGCTGTCAGATGTTGCTCCATCCGTGAAGTCAACCAATAGTTAAATTAAAAAAAAAAGCATGTAATGCTGAAGTCTTAAGAGAGGAGACGGGTATTCACTTCGGAAGTCACTTTTGTTTGCGTTACTCGTAACTGAATAAAATCTTTTGTTTCCTTCTTCAGCGTCAAAATGTTTGATTGCATCCGAATCGATGTCAGACCTGTCATTTGGTCCGAGACGAATGAAAGGAGGAAGCACCTGGGATGTGGATTCGCCAAGAGTTACGCCTCCGGGGACACCACCGCCTCCTTATGGAGGAAGTAACGCAGCAATTAGTGAAGGCTCAGAAACTGTTTCTCAGACGGATGAGGATTCCGCTACGCCCGACGAGGTATGAAATTTTGCGTTCTCTAAATATGTAGTTGTAAGCAGTTTTATATGAATCGTTCGAACTGAACAGTAAATTGATTCGATTTTAGTGAACTGACGCACTATATAGAAAGATACTGGATGTACCTCGTTATATTTCGCTATGACCGTGATGGGGTAGACGCCCCGTTCCGTAAAGATGTAGGCAGCGAAATCCAGAGTACAGAATTTTATGTAATGAGAGCCGAGACGTATGCTCCAAAACAATAAATTGTGGTTGTTGAGTGGAATAGATGAATTGTGCTTATTTGATTATGTGCAGCACGCTGGTGGTGACGCAGCGTCGCCAGAGGCATCGCCTGTCAAGTCCAATTGTGGTTCCTGTGTAAATACGGCGACTGCGCAGCAGCAGTCGATCATCTCCATGGAGGAAGACGAGATGTCAGATCAGGAAGTTGTGAGTACTTATCTGTTATGCTGTCGGTTTGTCTCCGGTGCAACGCCGAGTGATGAATGCTTCGGCCTAATCGCAGTTCTCAGAATTTAAAAAAAAGGTGTATCGCGCAAGGATTGCCGCATTTTAATTTTGTTTGCAAACATTTCCATGTGTAATTTTTTTTTAAAAAAACAATTATGTACGTTTCTGATTCTCGTCGGTAAGGTTGTTGAAAAAAGAGTTCTTCAGATTTTGTGACTCTGCACCAGTTCTCTTTGAAAATGTCGCATCTCGCACGTTCACGTGATTAATTTTTTTTTTTTTCTTTTCCAGGGCCAGTTGGAAGACCACGGACCGTTCAAAAGTCTTTCGAAGTTATGGGAACATAATGCGCATCTGGCAGTGTTCATGAATTATGTTATATCTAACAGCGATCCCTCCTTTTTGGTATGGAAATATATTTTGTTTAATTTATTTTTAAATTATTATTTTATTTTAAAACTGTTCTTTTCTTATTGACCTGTTCTAGTAATTATGTCAAATATATCTTTTTCTTTGATTTCAGTTGTTTTATTTGGTAACAGATTTGTACAAAGAAGGGAACGCTAAGGAAATGAAGAAATGGGCGTATGAAATTCATTCGAGCTTTCTTGTACCTGGAGCAGTAAGTTTTGGTTTTTTATTGATCGTATGTAGCGTAGGGTCTTACATCGTGTTTCTCTTTTTAATGTGATATTCTAAAACCAGATGTAAAATATTTTTGAGAAAGAAAGGTTTCATATTGAGCCGTTTGGTGATCTCCGCTTTTTTGAAATTGTGTGGTAAAGTAGTTGGCTGTTGTTACAGCTGAGGTTTTTTATGTGTGTTTGTTCTGCCATCTATTGTTAGGTCACAGAATTATTGATTTCTTTTAACGTGTACTCCACACAGTCAAAATGATCGAATAACCTGATGTTGAGAAATGCGTCGGGTGCGAAACTAAAGTAATAGAAGAAGATCGTTCGTTGTCTGATATTTCTATCGCGCGGGGTTTCGATAATTCGTCAGAAAGCTAATATGCGAGCGGAAGGCGGTACGAACAAAGAGGAGATTTAAGGGTGAAATTATGCAGCGGAGTGTGCAGCGAGAGTTAATTTTATAGCGTTCTGTAGTCTAATCAGGTGGTAACCAGTGTTTTATAGGAACTCGCTGCCTCTTTCTTCATACCGTACTATACCATATTTAAGTTATTCTGTATTTACTTGTAAATAGAACTTGTTTGTGTGTGTGATCTAATGTTGTCGGTATTATTTTTCTTGTAGCCGTTGAGGCTGAACAACGTTGACGAGAATGTTGCGAGGGAAATTGATGATGTCTTGTTGAAGGATTCGGAGAAGGAGGAATTTCTCAGGAGGGTAAGCACTGATCCTGTTTTTGTTTTCATACGGCGTTGTTCCCATTTCGTAATACCTGTCTTGATTTCGGGGTGTCCGGAAGTTCTGATTCCGAGGGCGGTCCTCGCGTCTTTAAATTGAAATGAATTTTTAACGAGATTGGAAAGATGACATTGAAATAAATCTGTTTAGTAGGAGATGAAGTCTGATGAGACAGACATTATCATTCCACGTGCCTTTACTTCGTTAAATTTCCGTGGTTTGTGCATAAAGGAATCCTGTGGATTGGCTGGGACGCCGGGTTGTCCCTAGATTTTGTC